TTCACTCTCACATTCATACACTGGTGGAGGCAAGCTACAGTTGTAGCCACAGCTGCCCTGGGGCAGACTGACAGAAGCGAGGCTACCATATCGCGCCATCGGCCCCCAACACCAGTAGGCAAGTAGGGCAAAGTGTCTTGCCCAAGGACACAACGACCAGGACAGAGAGCCCAGGGATCGAACCGGCGACCTTCCGGTTACAGATGCAATTCCCACGGTTGCCCCCGATATATATATATATATATATATATATATATATATACACACACACACACACACACACACACACACACACACACACACACACACATATATATATAGAACACAAACATGTACAGAAATGCATGACACACAGCAGACGCTCAGACTAATAAACAAGAAATTAAACACTGCCATCTGCATCTCGTATACTGTTTGTTTATGTTGATGACAATGTGCAGTAGGAAGGGCTGCGTTTGACCGGGTGTTCGTCTGTCAGCGTATAGTAAGCGTGATGAACTGCCGGCATTGCGGAGTAAAGCGGCAGTGCAGGGTGGGACTCGCCGCTTTGACTGTTCATTTGCTCCAATCAGCCCCCACACCACCGCCACCGCCACCCCCGCTCTCTCTCACTTCTTTTCTCCCCTCTCTTTCTTTCTCTCCTTCTTCTCTTCTCTGATTAGGCCCACCGCGGCTCCATCAGAGCCCCAATCCCCCAGCTGTCACTCGGCCGCCCGTCTGATTGAAAACAATCAGGCCTCTGATGGCACAATTACCCTGACCCTTTAGCCAGCCGCCGCCGCCATAATCAGCCTCTGATTAGGCTGCTTTGGGGCTCCTTCACTTCACCCAGAAGGTTAATTTGGGCATCAGACGGAAGCGAGCGGCGAACGGGGGCTGTCGTCCGAAAGGGATGGTGGGCTGCAGGGTGGTGGGGTGCACGCCAAAACCGGACTGACCTAGCTCGGGCGTCAATCATCGTCACTCAGAGTTTTCTTAGAGCCTCTCGTGCTCTGGAAATCACATTTTCTCTGCCTTTGTTTTTCCCCTCTCCCTCTCTCTCCCTCTCTCTCTATCTTGCCATCCTTTGCTCAGTCTCCCCTCCTCCCCTCACTATCTCTTTCCCTCACCCTCTTCTTTTCTCACACACACACACATACACACTCTCTCTCTCACACACTTTCTCTTTCAGCATGGAGGGGAAGGAGGGAGAAGGAGTTGATTTATTCTGTGCCCCGAGGAAGTTGTGTGATGCAGCGTGACCTTCACAGTCAGCTGCCGTAGTGCGCACACGCATGCTCACACACACACATGCGCACGCACGCACATGCACGCACGCACACTGTCACTTTAAAGCATTGAGGAGGAGAGAGGCGGGGTTAGCAGTGGAGGAAAGGGAAGACGAGACAGCAGAGTGGCACAGTTACCACAAAAAAGACAGAAGCCTGACTTGCATGTTTGTTGCATATTCAGACCTTCAGAGGGGACTGAAAGGAGAAATGAGGAAAGGAAGGTTTCGTCTGGATAGCAAAGACAAGGCACGCATCCAGTGTGTGTGCATGCATCACATCTCGACTCCTGTATTATCAGTGCAGTCGTGACATTGACAGTTTTTTCCCCCTGATTTGTTCTTAGCCATCCTCGTGTCCCTTTTCCCCCTAAAAATCTTTATTCCTTTATTCGCTGTAATAAGCTCTCAGTCTCTGCGCAGATTGCGCTAACAACCACTTTGTTTTCCTGATAATGGTATCAGTGATCTCCAGTCATCTCGCCCACATTCACACCTCGTCGCAGCTAAATAACCTTCCATCGCTCTCAAGTTCAATTAAATCCCTTCCCTGCTACCCGGTTCGCCCGCGTTAAACAAAGGAGGCTGCCTGTGGATATTTACAGTCTGAATATTGAATGCTGCTGATTAATAAATGCTTGTGTGTGTGTGTGTGTGTGTGTGTGTGTGTGTGTGTGTGTGTGTGTGTGTGTGTGTGTGTGTGTGTTAGCAACTATGGCTGTAGTGCTGGCTCAATCTTGCCATAATAGCCTATAGGTGTCTAGAAAAATTTCTGATTAGCAGTCCTTCAGTGTTTCTTTTTTCTCTCATATTGGTTTTCTTTCCCTATCTCTATTTTTTCCCAAAGTCTTTCCTACTGATTCTTTCCTTCTACACTTCCCTCTTATCCTAACGTCTTTCCTATTTGCCTTTTGTAGGGACTGGATGAAAAACGACTGGAGCAGGGAGACTTTTGTTTCTAATTTAAAACTTGAAAAGAAACAAAAACTGAGCCATAATGAATTCAAATAATAATTTCATCAATAATACATTAAAATTGAATGAGCAGTTTTTGAATTTATGGAACCATGACAGCATGATGAATATTGTAGTCACTGTTCTTCCTGCTTGCTCTTGGTCTCTAACTGATCTTCTCTTCTTTCTGGATTTAGCTGGTTGTTCTGTGGCTCGAGCACGACTGTTGCTACCAGTACACCGAGGACCTTCTGCAGCACGTCCGCTACGGACTGATGGACGTCCCCACACTGCACCACCTTTCGCGTAGCCATCCTCTGGTCCAGTCTAGCCCTACCGCTGCAGCTCTGGTAGATGAGGCCTTGGACTACCACCGCGCCATCTTCGCTCAGCCCCTCCACCAGTCAGCCCGCACCAGACCGCGCTTCCAGTCCCTCACCCTCTACATAGTTGGAGGTCGGAAGCGGGAGGTGAGCAGAGTCCGGGAGCTGCGGTATTTCAACCCAGCTGTGCAGGAGCACGTGCGAGTGGCGGGCGGGTCGAACTGGAGCGAACTGGTCCCCATGCCTACTGGACGCAGCCACCACTGCGTGGCTGTAATGGGGAACTTCCTGTTTGTCGTAGGTGGAGAGATGGAGCACGCCACTGGGAGGACATGTGCAGTAAGGACCGCCTGTAGATATGACCCCAGGGGCAACCGTTGGACTGAGATTGCCCCCATGAAGGCATGTAGGGAACACTTTGTCCTGGGAGCTCTGGGGCAGTACCTGTACGCAGTGGGAGGCAGGAATGAGCTGAGGCAGGTGCTGCCCTCTGTGGAGCGTTACTGTCCCAAGAGGAACAAATGGATGTTCGTCCAGCCCTTTGACCGCTCGCTGTCCTGCCACGCCGGCTGCGTTGCTGACAACCTGCTCTGGGTGTCAGGTACACAAGGAGAGAACACAGACTCAGCCTGCACATTCGGTCCCATAGATGTTACTTTTATCTCACTTCTGCTACTAAGTTCACACTTTCACACACATTTGCAGGAGAACGTGTCACTGCCAGAATCCTGAGATGTTTGTTTGTGTTCCAGGTGGGGTGACAAACACGGCTCAGTACCAAAACCGGCTGATGGTTTACGACCCAGAACAGGTAGCTGTGGACTGATTGGATTTGTTTCTGTGTGTCGAGGAAATGCATGTTCATTTTCCCTGATTACAGCTGTATACTCGATACTACGGCACACTTTATCACCATATTCCCAAAACATACTAAAGCCAACTCGAGCCAGTATTTACATATAAGCTAAGAATGAATTTACTGTGAACGAGGCTGCTGATAGAGACAAAATCACAAAGAAGTATGATTATACGCTACAGTTCATTGTACTTTCAGTGGGGTTTTCTTTTTTTGAACAGTGATTTTGTTTTACTGACGGTAACCTTACTGTTTGCATTCATCTCCTGACTCTCATCAACAGCAAACAGCAGTGATCAGTACAAAAAACAAACAAAAAAAATACCCTTTTACACGCCCAGGTCCAAACAGCTGACACACAAAATTTCCCTCAAGCTTCATATTTTTTTTCTCAGGAGCTTTTGGAGACCAAATGTGAGGTAGATGAGATTATTTGAGTTACATTTTTCAGGTGTTCAGAAACAGAACTCTAAATTGATGGTCTGTGGTGGATGTGAACTGCTCGGTAAAGCGTTTTGGTTGCTATTATGTCAGTGCTGAGAGCTTGTTGTGTCCTTGGAATCCTTATTCAGAGCCACTTATTATGAGACTCATCCTGAGATTTTTCTCTGTGAAAGTTTGTACTGAGGTTAGCTTATAATACAGTTTACTCTGTTTGAATTGTTGTTGACTGATGATGAGACTTTTGGAAAAGTACACACCTAAACATCATCGGTGTAATAATAATGGAGTATTTTTTTTCTCTCTCCCAGAAATAAAAGCACACCTTACGTTCTCAATGACGGATAGCACAACAGGCAGGTGTCAAGTGTCTGCTAATTGATTTTCACACTGTATGGAATCAATTAAAAACATCCCAGCCACTCTGATAAATAGTAAAACTAGATTTGGGATGGGAATTGCATTTGTATACATGGTATGATTAATTTGTGCATCTGCAAAGGTGCGCTTAATGCGAAACGACACTTCCAGGACTCTACAGTGCTCTGAAAAACATTTTAAACTGAAAAAGCTGCACTTGTTCAGTCCTTTTCTAATTGCACTGTCATGAATTTTAACATTTAACATGCTAACTGAAAACTTTAGAGTTTGACATGTAGCTCTTGGATTTTTTTTGCATTTTCTCTGAGCACTCAAATGGGGTGAATTTACCCCAACTAGCAAACTGCAAAACCTTTATAGAGGTGGTCATACTTGCTCTGGTCTTCCTTAGTTTTTCAATGTAGAGGCCTGCGAAAACTTTCCTTCACACAAAGCTGTAAAGGTATGTAAAGGTAAAACAACCCCTTTGCTTATTTCAGCAAGACAAAATGTTGCAAACAGTAAAATTTAGTTCCAACTTTTGTCGTGTTTTTTCGGTTATATTTTTGAAATTAAATATGAGCTTTAAATGATTTTGATTCTGTGTGCAATAGTCAAACACACCTTTCTGCACTGGAATGTAGAGGGCTAAACATCAATCGGTTGTGTTTATAGGCAGCTGCTAAAGCCTGTATATAGTACGCGGTGTGTATGTGTGTAATGCGCATATCCATATGGGTCTGTGTTTGTACATGTCTGCGTGGAAGCGAGGGAATGAAAAAACGAAAGAGAGAGGAAGAGAGTCTCATTTGTATTCACCATGAATCTACATTCACCTGCCAGAGCAACAGCAACCCCCCACCCACTCTACCCTCAACAGATGGCCACCCGTCAGCTCCCAGCAGACACACACGCACACACACACTTTCTCTCTCTCATTCTCTGCCTCAATCAAGCACTCACACACACACACACACACACACACACACACACACACACACACACACACAGAAAATACACTTCGACACACTTAGTGAAATGAGCAGGGATCCTCGGTGTAAAATGGAGTGGCTGAAACATATGATTAGAAATAGGGAGGGAAGTCATTAGTACAAACCTGAGCTCCAGTGTCACGTTATTTATCTAGTGCTGAGCATACATCAATTACCCATGCATGGATATGCTTAAATATTAATCTTCGTATTCATCCTCCTTCCCTTTCCACCCTCGCTGTTTCTCTCTGCCTCCCTCTTTGTACTGCATCTCTTATTTTCTCCCTTTTTCACCCCCTTCAAATTCATCTGCCGTTCCCTCCCCATATCTACTCCCCACCACCTTCGCCTCCACCTCAGGACCAGTGGTTGGCCCGCAGTCCCATGTTGCAGAGGCGAGTATACCACGTCATGGCGGCGGTGAGGAGGGAACTGTACGTGTTAGGTGGGAACGACCTGGATTACAACAACGATCGCATCTTGGTCCGCCACATCGACTCCTATAATATGGACCTGGACCAGTGGACGCGGTGCTCATTCAGCCTCCTCACAGGTGGGCAAAGCGATGAAGCCACTGTGGAAACATGCATACATGCTCAGAAATAACTGTGTGACCTGCACAACTTTTTCTGAAATGATCCATTAGATAGAAGCAGAAGAAGCTTTGGCTGTGACAGAGAAATTGCAGCTTTCTTGCTGAGAGTTAGAGGAGATAGGTGATGTCATGTCTGCGCTAACATAAAGCTACTGTCAGGAGGTGGTTAGATTAACTTAGATAAAGACTAGAACTGGGGCAGTTGACTGACTCTATCGAGAAACAATATTTGCTTCTGCTATTCACCTGACAGGATCATGAAATTCACCACTACAATCCATCTTAAACTAGAACTTGTTTATTTAATGCTGGTGTTTTGGTAAGGATTAAAAAAAACACATAGGGTGTGAACAAAATGCTTTTATGCTGGTGCTCGATCACGATACCTTTGATTTGAGCCAGACTAGCAATTTTTATATTAATAGACCAAAAGACGCACTGCCCACTGCGAGTGACTTTACTAGTGACAAACTGGGTGGGAAATGTTAACGCATTTTGCTTCTCCCATCTTCCTAGCATAAATCAGTTTGTAGTTTTTTTGACCAACAACTCTAATATTCTATTTTTGAGAAGATGTTAAATTGAAAGTGTTAGATATGCCCTACATTATACATACACATAAAGTCTGAGTTAACTAACTCATCTATCATAGCAACATATTGAAATTTCTGTTGTGTTTAGCAGCTTGAACCCGCTCTGTCAGGAGCTGTGGAGCCATAAAAGAGAGCTAACTTAAGACATACAGCATCAAGAGACAGCACCCATTCCTTTATATTTTGGAGACCTTTAAAAAATGTTGTTTTGGGCCACAGTTCTCCAGGCTTTCTGAAGGTCTTTCAAAGTTGATCTTCAGACAATGATTGGTTTTTCATACATTGTCCAGTACTTGAAGCTGGCCGTTTTCAGACGTTTTTAGTTAGTCTAAAAACGTCTAATCTTAGAATTTAAACTGGTTCTTTGCTATTTGTAGGCACTTTGCCACAAGCAGCCTGTTACAAAAAATATTTTTTCCCATTTCTTTAGTTGAATCTATGAAAAATGCCAAAGGTCAGTTTGACAGACATAAAATAATATTTTTTGCACCAACAAGGAATGCTGTTAGCAGAAAACCTTGCACATCTTGGCATGTTGTACAAGTATCTACAGCAGATGAACAATTTGTGAAAGTCATGTCCTTAAGAAACAGGAGAAAAATCCAGCAAAGACCTGACACAAGACCCGAGACATTCATCAGGGCCTTTAGTTGATCCATGTACTGTTCACTGAAGCCTCATCAGAAATGGTCCCAGTGGAAGGGTGGCTGCATTTCCATGTGTGTTTGCACATTTCAATTAAGCGCTGCACCTATTTGCCATTTTTATTGCAAAATATAAAGCTAAGAGGGGTGGCTCAAGACTTTTGCACCGTATCATATATTACACTTTCACGCAAACCTTAATAGTTTTTTGTCAAATCGAGCAAATTAAAAGGACGTATTTCCAAATGCACAGAGGATTTAGTGACATTTGAATACCAGTGTGATGACTAACAGCAGGCTGATACTCAAGGCCACTGTCGATCAAACTTTTTTCCAAGCTGAACATTTAATTGCTCTTTATGTAGTTGTAAATCTTTAATGAAAAACACTTCTGAAAACAAGCTTTCAGCAGCTTTAATGCTAATCTATTTAGAACACCATATATTTTTAATACAATTATGCACTGTACATATGTGGTGCTTGGAAACGTAGGCTGAGTATAACTCTCGGCTTTGCCCTCCTCTCATTAGATTAGAAACACAACACATAATGCCTCCCTGTTGGCTGCAAGTAGGTGGTAGGATGATTAAATTAAAACATATAGAGAGTATATGTCTACTTTGGACCTGAGGGTATGTTGCACCTTTTAGCCTACAGGATAGCGGTGGGATGGAACACAAGCACTGCCAAGACAATCTCACATGCATATACTGTAGGATGTGGTCATGTTTTCTCATTTTCCATTACAGGCTTTAAATTCTGGATGACTTTATTGTTATTTCCTCCTCCTCCTGTACTCCTGTTTGACTTTACACAATTGTTCTCGGATCTTTTCCTCCCGTTATATCTGCAAAAGTTTAAAGACAAAGTCACAGAAAGAACACGCCATAGCTCTGCGTACACTCCCACCCTTGCCCCATCTTTCTCCATTTATCTTCCCCTCTGCCTCCTGGGGGACGTGGAAGTCATATTGTCAGGATGCCCTCTGATTGGCACAGTGAAGCATTGTGCAGTCTCTGTCCTCTTCAGGTCAGAACGAGTCTGGAGTAGCGGTCCACGATGACAGGATCTATGTAGTTGGAGGATACTCTATTTGGACCAACGAGCCTCTGGCATGCATTCAGGTGAGTCTTCAGAGTAAAGTGGTGGGTCTGCTGATTCTCATATTTGATGGCAAAATGCCAGTGACGCTCCACAGTGCAGGGCAGTGAGCACAGGGCCTACTACTTCCTACGGAGGACGTTGGGCCATTCTCATGAAGTCTGTTTCTGATTGTTTGGTCGGAGACATTCACACCAGCGGCCTCCTGGATGTCGTCCAGTTCCTCCTTGCACAAAGGGGCACATACTAGCCCTGCTGAGGGGATTAGTATTCCACAAGTTGAACTGACTTGATGATTGATTAAGTTAGTACATGCTTTAGTAGGTTGTTCAAGCAGTTTCACTAGTATTGTAGGGAACAAGTGCTCTAATGTAGGCGATTAATTCAAATCTAACCCACTATCCCCTAGTTAACAGCAAGAACCTTCCCAACTTTTCATGGCTCGTCAATCTAAAGATGAAGACCATTCTAGCTGGAATCTAGTAAGGAGCAAATGACTTTCATTAAACAATCTTTCTCTGGTATTAATATAAAGACTGAAAACAGGCTTAATTGGGATTTATTAATGGGCATAGGGTCATCTATAGCAGTTTTTAAAGACTGAAATAGGACAATATCTCTTACCTTTCCTGAGGCTGATATGTATGTTTGTATCAAATTTCATGCCTTGTGGTGGTGCCAAAGGAAAAGACATTGTTATTACTATGTACTGGCCCAGTGCCATTACTACAGCTGTGCCATATATTGCATGAGTTTTCTCTTTCCAGGTGCTGGATCTTAGCACGGAGGGAAAGGAGGAGGTTTTCTACGGGCCAACGTTGCCGTTTGCCTCCAATGGGATAGCGGCCTGTTTCCTTCCTGCTCCTTACTTCACCTGCCCAAACCTACAAACTCTACAAGTACCCCATCACAGGATAGGTGCTGTTTAAACCACTCCTTTACAAAACGTGAGGAAACCAGAACATGTGACCAGAGGATGGAGCACTTTCAGATAAACTCTCTTTTTTATTTAATTTTTTTTTTTTAAAGTGCTCGATTATTGGACTCAATCTGAAACACGCCATCTCTGACACCAAAATGTAATAATAATATTTTCCTGACAAGAGCCATGCTATTTAAGCTATTTAAACTTCTAGGAACAATCTGCGTTCACAACAATAAAGCATTTTTTGGTTGTATGTTTCCAAAGACTGAAACATCATGACCACTGAAGACATAAGGAGCAAGTGGGAACATAAATCTTGCAGGAAAGGGACAGGAGAAAAAGAAAAAGACAGTCATCCTAACTGTTAATAAAGACGTGGAAAGAAGATATTGCTGACCTGCTCAACTGTCCTCAAGATAATAATGAAACTGCAGTTTCTGTAACCCATTAAAGTACTGTAGGAGCATTTCTAGCTAGAACTGCTGTATAACACTTCCACGTGATCCCTATAATCACTTCGGTGGCCTGAAGAACAGCCTGCTTTCTAATCACCTGTGCTGGTACTTGGGTTCGTAGGTAAATAACCATGCCATCTTTTTCAGTTCAAATAAGATAACAAAAAAAAAACGACCTGTGTGAGTCCGACTGTTAATACACTCAGGACCTAAGACTGTGGTCTAATGAATGTCTAGTCCCATCTGCGTGCATACGTACCATATACTGAATAATGCTGATTGTCCAAAACATACTTCTGACCAAAACAAACCCCCGTTTGTCTGTCGAAAAGAAAGGTGTTGAAAACCTGGAAAATTTGCAGAATAAAGATGCAAACAGAGAATTGAAAAAAGGCGCAGGAGTGTGTTCTGTCAAGAGCAGTAGTAGTTCTAAGAGTTCGGGGGGTGAGGATGACTGCTCTTCAGTGGGAATTATTTAGCAGCAATAGATAATTGCACACTAATTTAAAGAACCACCTCAGTTTCTTTCTTTATGCATGGATTCTCCAACCAGCTCTGATGCTGCTGGAGGAAAAAGGAATGTGATGCAGCAGAAAGCTCCTCGGATGAAGGAGATGCATTGCAGTTTGATGAGGCTGGAAAATGACTAGCAATGACAGAAAATGAGACTTGGTGATTGTGGGAGACAGGAGTGAGACTTCATGTGATTAGGTGCAAACTAGAACGGGATTGGAAGAGATTGCTGAACTTGGAACGGGGAGAAAGAACGGGAGAGTGGGAACAAACAGTACTACTTCTTCCCTCTGCTCAACTTTTTTTTTAAGGTGTGGTGGTGAAGTCATTGGGCCCTGATCAAATCTGTAATTCAGACTGCTGTATATATAGATGCAGCACCTCATACCATAATCACAAATAATGTGTGCACACTTCACATTCTTCCCTTCTCTTAGTATCGAACAGAAACGAAAAGGTGGGGATGCTGGCGTGTGGCCACATTCACATTTATTGTCACATTTTTCATTCAGTAACAGTGAATCTCTTGAGATGCAAAGCTGCACTTTTTTCTTTTTTGGACAATATGTACATATCTACAGGCAGGTAATATTAAGCTTTTAATCCATGATAGGAACATGCCCATTTGTATATTTTTTCCCTTCTACAAATCTTTTCTGTGCTTTTTTACAACTGCATTTGAGGTTTTAAGAATATTACAGATTATGCTAAACATAAATTAAACAGAATTTCTAAGGTATCCTCATTTTTTTAAGGGAAATTGACAAAAATGAAAATACAACATGATAAGAAGAGATTCTTGGAGGGGTCTGGAAGAGGTCTCTCTTTACTGGATTTTTTTTGTCACTCGCTTTCCAGACTGGTTATTTCAGCTTGCCCACTTTCCCCAAGGAGACCCAGCAACTTCACATATGCACTCCTGTTACACAAACAAATGTGGCACATTCTGTAAGTCACAGAGCTGCTGAATATTTCTTGTTCTGTATGCAACTGCAGCGCTTATTGTCTAGACAACTTAAAAATAGTTTAAAGTGATGAATGCCGTCTACATGGCTTCCAGGGTGTGATTCATGTGCTTGCTCACCTCAAGGCGATGTTCTTGCCCAGTCCTCTTTTGTGCTCAGTGTTTCTCAGACTGAGAGACAGGTTGGGGATAAGAGCTTGAACCACAGTGGGATCTAAAACAGCCACAGTCTCCAAGATGCCGTATATCTGCCTGTCGTAGACTCCCTCGTTCTCCTCCACAAACGACCTAAGAGCATCGAGATGGTAGGCATAATAAATAAATAAATGAATAAAAATGATGGATAAAAGAGGCTGTAATTTGATGATGATCTATAATTACTGTCTATGAATAATGTGTACACTTCAAATGATCTTAAACAGTCGAATATTGCAAAGTTTGTCGATGCATACAGTATTTAATGCTACAAACATTCAGTTACCGTAAGACTGTGATCATCTGGTCGCATGGTCTCTCTGTAGATGCGGCACCACACCGCTCAACTACAAGCTGTAAGGCATCTGTGCTCGTCTTCCTTACTGCACATCCAAAATAAAAAAATAAAAATCACTTCACAATCACATCAATAGAGACGGGCTGGAAAGTGTTGATTATATAATGCATCAGTCTGAAATGAAGTGAATCCACTTAAATGACACTGTTATATAAAAAATGACTTTAACTTCTACTTCAATCAATCAAAACTGCAGTAAAATGTAGAGTTAACAGAAGATCTGAGTACTGCAAGTCATTACAACAACTCCTAATCTACATAACAAGAGTTTCTGAGTAGAATTTGGCACTTTCTCACACGGGGAACAGCTGCTGGATTACAACTTTATTCGTTTATGCCACTAATGTCGCACTGTCCATATTCCTCTGCTCTGGACCATCATTACATTGCTTGTACTCAGTGAACTGTGATCATATGGAAAGCCAGACGCTCTCTTTTTATACCAACTTCTGGATTGTTAGATCTCATGATTATATAGTTTTATACTTAAGCTGCAGACAGAGAAACAGTGAGGTAGTGGAGCACTGCTATATTAAAACTTGGCTTGTAAAACTATTTAAGATTCAGATTGTCAATCTTACCCTGTGGCTCGTTGACCAGCATAATGCAGCGCAGCAGAGAGGGGAGGGGCACGGTGAGTAGGGAGGGGTCTGAGTCACCATTTCGTCTCAGAAGCTCCAACAGGAACATCAGGACGGATGCCAGACGAGGAGGGGGGGCGTGACCTTTGAACTGCAGGAAGTTCTCACTGCAAACACAAGCAGAGGTGTTTCTAGTAACTTTAAGTGGCTGTTTATGTAGACACATGGTGAAAGAAGGAAATGATGTACATGAGTCCTTGATAATAAAGGTAAGACAGCCTTTGGGGCGTTTGGAGTTTTCAGTCATTGCTGAGAGAGTTTTTGATTAAACAGGAATCACATTCAGAAATTAAGTGAACATGAAATTCAGGTCAATGCTGGATCAGGCAAATTCTTTTCATGGTTCTGCAGACCTACCAAAGAACCTCTAGGATGAGTCTCCTCAGGGCAGCTCCACGGCTGGTTGGGTTGGCCTCGCAGGCACCTAGAAGCACCGGGTGGTTGGCAATAATGCCCACAGAAGGCGAGGCAGGAAGGAAATGGTCCAAATATCTGCGAGTTACAGAACGTAGTTGCTGCTTCAGGTAAGCCCCCTGGGACTGAGACACACTAGAGGCCACAGACAGACCCTGGAAGACGATAAATGGAAGGGTCTTTATCAAAATAGCCAGGTTTCTTTCTTTAATGTAACGGCTGTGTGTTTGGACAATGTGTGTCTATATTATACATTTGTCCCTACCTGTATATACAAAGGCAGACTGTCTCTGAGAGCTTTGTCTTGCTGTGTGAGGTTGTGGGGAAGCAGCAGCCCATCCACAATGCGGAACAACAGCTGTTGTGCTTTTGATGTGGCCAGCAGGGGGCTCCAGTGCTTCACAATGCAGCCTGGTCACAGAGAAAAGAGTGTTGTACTCTCATACGCAATTCCAATAATTTCTTGCCCAGTCGTGGACTTTATACACAGTATATTCTGTGATGCGTTTGAAATTGATAAACTTTGCACCTACCAACAGCCCAGTATGCTAGCTGTATTCCCTCTTGGTTCTTGCTGACGAGAGACGGTTTAATGTGCTTCAGGATGTCACCAATGTAGTCTAGGGCTGTGGTCACCATGGCTGAACGCTCAGACAAAACCTTCAGTCCACTGTACACACTGCCTACAGCCTAACACCATGTGAAACACATAGAAACACACGCTGATGAAGGTTCACAGACGATTTTTAATTTTACTTGGACACAAAGCCGACCTGAGTTCTCTCATAACTAACTTGCTGTAAAATTTCAAAATACACAAAGACAGAATTATTCCCCAGTGTGTTTGTCACCTGTGTGCGTATGTTACCTTGACAAACCTCTCCAGGGCTGCAGTCGGCTCTGGCCTGGTTGATGTGGGATTAAGGTTGGCTCTCTGCAGAAGCCTCTCCACCTCGGGAAGCCTCAGCACAAGCCGGGTCAATTCACACAACTGTTGTTCCACAGCCCGGGCTGACGAATGCAAAAACACAAACACTGGTTATTCAAATGATAACGAAGTTCACATTAATGTAAACACTTCCTTTTTTACTTAAAGAATAGGTTGAAAACTGCTGTTGAGTATTGTTACCTGTTCTGCTGTCAGTGCCATCTGGGTTCTTGTGAAGGTGCTGCTGTAGAACACATCTGACCCAGGCCCTCACTGACAGGCTTTGTGCAGAACCAGACACAGCAACGCCAGGATCTCCACTCAGAGAGGACACCAGCTCACTGCGAAAGAGAAGAGACAGCAAGAACCTGATCACAAGTCTGTTTGGAGATGTGTGGGGCAGGGTGGGTGGGGGGCGAGGCGGTTTCTATTGACTGTCCAACTAATGCACATCTTTTCAAATGGTGGAAAGCCTAATTCAATGGAAGCAAATTCTACTTTGCAGCTTGTGCAATCACTTTAAAGCAACCCGCACAAAATAAGAAAGATAAGCTTGTCAGAAAAAAACTTCTAAAAAGGATCACTTTGGTATCTTGCAGTTGAAGGGTCAGGTACTGGCAGTTGCCCATACAAAACACACCACCTCCTTATTGCATAATAATCTTCCTGCCTCTCTTTCATTAATAAACAGTGCCCAGACAGCTCAGTAGGTAAGGCTGTGGTCTATTAACATTTTGGTTCATGGATATTATTTTAGCTTATGGCTCGTTTTCTTTCTCCATCTTGCTGGACTGGTGGAGAAGGATGTGCAGCTGATGGCCAGATAATATTCCAGATGTCTGCAATTTTAACTAGGGAACTAATTTCAAACCACAGCAGGCTATTCTGATTGGTGTTTCAGCATCTCTGTCTTTGCTAGACGCATTCCTGTAATATCTAATCTGTCTTTGTTGTAGTGGTTTCAGGCTGTGCAGGTAGAATTTCCATTAAGTGGCCATGTTGAATCTTCCTAATGGTTTAGCCCTCTGTTAACCTTAGCCAAAGGCTCATTGCTGCAGCCAATTCCATTTCATGTTTATGTAGCTTGTTAGAGCCTCTAACAGCTTGTGTTGTAAGCATATGAAGCACATGCACATGTCAGCGCTTATGTGATGGGAGGGACTTGGAGCTGCAGATGGAGGGTTTTTTTAAAACTCTTGGATATTTTTTTTTTCCCCTACTGCAGCTTTAGTATCACTTGGCACCGTCTGAAAAGATGTCTGTGGTTGAAATAATAATCATTCTTCTACTCTTGAGTGTAATTTTGAAGCTTTTACCTTCTGTATAAAGGCATGAATGCATTTTTATTTATTAATAACCATCTTCACTATACAAGGACACCCTGTGCTTCATTTATTAATTAGAGACGGTGTAATGTACCTGCAGAAGTTATGGAAAACAGTTTTTTTAAGTGCGTCACACAATGATGAAGCTTGATAACT